GGGTTTTTTTCCCTAAAATTTTACTTTTGTAAATTGTATTGGAAGCGGGGCATGAGGCACACAGCTATAATCTCACACTTGAAGGCTGAGGCTGAATAGTGAATTTGAGTCCAGTCTGAGCTGTATTAAATACTTTTTTAGAGAATAAATAAATATGGAGATGTCAAGGTGGTTCAGTGGGCAAAAGGTGTTTGCCACTGAGCCTGATGACCTGAGTTTGAACTCTCAGACACAGAAAGTAGGAAGAGAGAACTGACCCTGTAAGTTGTCCTCTGATCTCTGATGACACATTCACCCCTTCATGCAACCACCTATGCATGTATACACGCACATGCCAGCACATGCATGCGCTCGCGCACGCGCACACACACACACATACACACACACACAATGTAAAAGTAATGAATAGTGTCAATGAATGATTACTTATAAATTTATTGTCCCTGTAACAATTCATATTGACAGTAATCGAACAATGCTAGCAATACCATACAAGTAAAGATTAAGCAACTGAGTAAGTCCAAAGACTATGAAAGGAAGAAAAGTTTCTGTATCATTAGGTTTTAAGAAACAAGGTCACAAACTGGAGAGATGGCTTTCCACTTATGTATACTTTCTATTCGTGAAGAAGATCCAGGTTCAGTTCCCAAGACCTACAAGGCAGGCCACAACTCTTTTTTTGTTTTGTTTTGTTTTTTGTTTTGTTGTTTGTTTTGCTTTTTTGTTTTGTTGTTTGTTTGTTTGCCCGAGACAGGGTTTCTCTGTAGAGCTCTGGCTGTCCTGGAACTCACTCTGTAGACCAGGCTCAGCACGAACTCAGAAATCTGCCTGCCTCTGCCTCCTTAGTGCTAGGATTAAAGGCATGTGCCACCACTGCCCAGTAGGTCACAGCTCTTAATAATACAAATTCAAGAGAATTCTACACCCTCTCCTGACCTCTGAAAACTCTAGGCATATATGTGGTGTACGTAGCGTCATGAAGCACATTCATATATACATAACACTATGGGGAAAAAAGGATCAAATGAAGGAAGGAACAAAGCAAGGGAGGAAGGAAGAAATGTCACAGTATTTGTGTCAGGATTGATCTAAGACCCATCACTGAAGTGGCTTTCATACCCGTAGTACTGAGTTTTGCTCTTTACTGGGAGCTGCCAGTAGGATGGAGCAGGCTGCAAGGGTAGGGTCGAGGTCTCACAATTTCACTCCTCCAGGGCTGGCTCACTGAAGTCCCTGTCACCAGGACCAGCTCTGCTGTGCTGCTCAGGCCAGCTGTAGAACCCTCTCTCCCAAGTGATGCAGATGAGGGGCAGGGAGAGCTCACTAGCTCTCATAACCCCAGGCCCAGCTCTCCCAACTGCTGGAAGTGGCAAGAGACAAAGATGGAAAAGGCATTACCCTATACCCATGCCACCTCATGACAGAGGAGTGGCAAGGCTCGCCCATTCCCCTCCCACCTCTACCAGGTCCAACTCTGCTGTGTTGCTCCTTTAAGATGCAGGGCCTGTTCTGAATGCTACAGACTGTGAGGGACATCTCTCCATCTCTCATTACCTTAGGGCCATCTCTCCCTATTACCACACATAGTAAGGGCCGAAGGAGAGAGGGCATCACCACTAAACCCATGCCACTTCATAGCAAATGAGTGGCAAAGTCAGCGCTTCCTTGGTCATACCATCAAGGCTAGCTCACCTGTACCCTCATCACCAGTAACCAGGGCCTGCTCTACTGTACTTACTGTTCTGGTGAGGTACAGAGACTGCTCTTCAGAGTGCTGTAGCTGTTATTATCACTCATGAACCTGGGGCCAGCTCTCTTGACTGCCTGAAGTGTCAAGGAGTAAGGGTCAGGGGAGGGTATCACTTCCTCACCAGACCTCCCTCGTGGTAGAAGTGGTAGGGTCAAATCTTCCACACTCATACCCTTGAGGCCAGCTTACCTGTATCCCCACCACCAGGGCCAGCTCCACTTGTGCTGACCAGGCAAGGTGCAAGGCTGACTCCTGAGTGCTGCTACAGGTGAGAAAGTGGGGCCACATCTTCAGAGCACCACAGCCAGTGAGGTATGTGGCCAGTTCTGCACAGCCCTTGGACATCAACATGGTCTCAGGCAGCTGCTCAGACTAGGGACATCTCCACAGTCTCAAATGGTAATAGGGGCCACAGACATCAAAAAAAAAAAACCCTGTCACTGCATGGCCATGGACCCAGATATGGCCATCAGCACCATCACTTGCTGGGATTTCATCATGGCCTTGCTGGCTGGCCTGGCTACTCATACAGGCTCTTCCTCTCCATCCTCAAGTCTCCAGTTCCATCTGCCTTTATAATGCCCAAACTGCTGCCCTTATTTTTTTTCTCTCTTTTTTCCACCACATACTTGCACATTGTAGTGGCTCATGCTACAGGGAGAGGGGACACACTGCTGGAGGGCATATGGGTGACTTCCTCTACCCACACTGCATGGAGTGGCACCAAATAGGCCTCTGGGTATCTGCAACCCAACCATGTGGCATGGTGGTAGGCGGATCTCTGGACATCTTTCACCTCCCACATCTTGTAGTGTGGCAGCAGGTTGGTCTGTGTGTCCATTACCTGCACCAGGTGGGTCTTTAGGTCTTTCTCCTACTGTGCAAGCAGGCTGGTCTCTCTGTTTATAGCCCACCCACTGGGCACTTTTCCCTGCCAGAGCAGCCTGGTGTGGCACTGGGCCATCTCTGATTCTTTTGCTTACTCTTGAGACTCTTTTTCTCCTATTGGATTGTCATGTCAACCTCAATATGAGGACTTATCATCTTGTCTTATTTTATCTTATTATGCCCTGTTTGGCTGTGGTCTCTCGGAGGCAAGCTTTTCTGAAGAAGAAATGGAGTAGGAGTGGATATTAAGGAGAGGGGAGGTGATAGAAACTAGGAAAAGTAGATGCTGGGGAAATTGTGATTGGGATGAATTATAAAAGAGAAAAATCTATTTTCAATACAACATAATAGCTCTCCTTTGATACACAGAACTGACTCATATTTCTAACTGAATCCAGACAGAATGATTTCCACCCTAAACCACTAAGGGCAAATTCAGTAAAAAGAAATCTACTACTGAAGTTTAAAAACTGTAGAAGACTTTAACAGAAACTCACAAAAATATGTATGGTTTCACAAGAAAGAAGCACAAAAATTATAAATTAGAAAAATATGTTCTAAGAGCTAGGGATGTGGCTCAGCTGATAAAAGCATTTGGCGGGCAAGCCCGATGACCTGGGTCCAATCGCCGAACTATCCACCTATAATATTAAAGGAAAGAAATGTCTCCACAGTGTTGTCCTCCAACCATCACATGTGCAATGTGGCATATGAACTCACACGTAAGCATCATACATGCATGTATGTACACGTACAAAAATAAAACTGAAAATAAAAATGCAGGATTAAATGGCAATGACTTATCATTACGCTAGAAGTCTAAACGTGAACAGTCAATCTTGAAAATGATTGACACATGGTGGAAGTGGTGGACTTTGTAGATGTCTGTAGAAATATAAATGGTACCTGTTTACAAGTGTTGTGGCTTCTTAGAGCATCAAATACATCTCCCATAGGATTCTCCTATCCTGGCTTAGGTGTTCACTTCCCCAAAGGAAGGTATCTGCAATGCATTATATTCATAGTGGACTAGTTGTTTTCTTTTTACTAATCCAAACTGAAAGTAACCTCACCACCACCAATAGGCAGATGAATGGATAAACAGCTGGTGAAACTGCTGTATGATGGAAACATACTTAGCACTGAAAAAGCAATGACTTATTGACCTGTACCTTGAGAGTGTTCCGGGATAATACATTATATGTTCTTATATAGAGACTGGGAAAACTGGGGTCATTTCCTAGACAAATTCCTGAATATCACTCAGTGAATCTATACTGGTCTATTAATTTAAAAGGAAATACTCTTAGGTATTTCCTTTTAATTAATAAAATTGGATAAACCCATTGAAAAACATACAGGAGAACATTAACAACAACAACATTAGGGAGCTGAGGTTACTGCATATTGCTTTGACAAGTGGATCTTATAAGATCTTCAACTACATCAAGTAAAATTTCACAAAGTCACCATGCAGTAGAAGTCTCCAAACCTTCACCCTCATTTGTTAATGTGTTGCTGTCTATTCTGATGCTAGGCAGTATTTAAAAAAGTGAAACTCATATCATCCACCATTTTGATGGCTGAAAAACACAATCATCACATCTCTCTGGGTCTGTGTCACAATGAGAGTGAAGAAGCAGAGAGAGAACAGGCAGGCAGTTGTATGTGTCTATCCTTAAATAAAGAAATAGGACACTATATATTTTAGCTAAGATGATCTGGAAGTAAGGGCCTAGCTCATGGAAGACAAACACTCTGACACACACAGCAGAGCTATATCCCCAGCTCGCTTTACATTTTACAAACTTGGAGATGGTCTCACTGAGTTGCTCAGACTGGTCTTGTGTTCATTCGGTAACCCAGGACTGTTTTGAACTTGCCATCCATGGGAACATAGCTTCCCAGATATGTGGGTTTTCAAGGGTTGTGACACCGTGCTTGGATTTACTCACATATTTATTTACTCAAATTCTTTACGTTATTTTAAATTATAAAATTATTATATCAGATTGTACTATCATCACATTGTAATATAAAGCAGAAGAGTCACTGTATAATTTTTCCACTGAAAAGTATTCCTTATTTAAAAGGATAAAAAAGTAATATTCACTGTAATAACTACCCATTATTTATTCTGTGGAACTCAATGTCTGTGTAATCCCAGTTTATAATTTTTCCTTTGATGTATTCCACCAAGATCTTTTACACGTAACATTTCCTGAGACATTCTAAAGCAAAGTGAACTACAATGTGTGAAACGTTTTTCAAAGTAAGCTCAGTAGCATGCTAAGCTCACATATTCTCTTCCTGGAAGATATCTGGTGGGGACAGTGCTATAATAATAAATCAGCAGTGAAAGACCACTTCCTTTCTTCCTTCCCACAGGCTAATTCACAAATATTGAGCATTTTAAAGGTGTTGCAACTTAGAATTCTCCTGGACGTTTGGGAGCACATCATCGGTTGTCCAATTTTATTCATCTAGTGACACACTGGGGCATTGTTTAGTTCTTGGATTCTTTGATAACGCTACCAGACAGGACTCCTCTAGGATGAATTGCTCTGGGTGAGTACATTGCCTTAGCTCATGCATTTCTTCCAAGTTGTGAGCATGTGTCACTCTTGGATGGTAATTTACATTTCAACAAAACTACTGAAATATTAGCAATAGTGGAAAGTGAATCTATCTCTCCTTTCTGTATGATTTTTTAATTATCATTTTTATTTTTCCAACTGACTAGCCTCTTTCAAAGTGAATTAGTATGTTTTTGTTCCCTCACTACCTTCAGGTGTTTGCTTAGCAGATGAGCATGCTGTTTTGTTTCTTATATTTAGCGACAAATTCCTTTTGTGACAAATAGATAAAATAGTTTACCGTGTGAGTGTGTGTGTGTATGTGTGTCTGTTTGTATGTATGTATGTATGTATTAGTCTTTGCCCTTTTGTCTGATTTGTACCTTTGTGTCTAGTTTGTAAGCATGTACTAGTTTGACTAGGGAAAATTACATGTAATTAATTGTTTGTTTGTATATCTGTGACTAACGGTGAGTCTTTCCATGTGAGTCTATGTAGTTATGGCTCCATCCACTTATTTAATATTTTCCTCATATGTGTGTCTAAAATCATCATTTTTTTGCTGGAATTAGTTTAGTGTTCTTACTCTTCTTATTGTACTCATTTACTGAGTTACATATACAGTTCTCAGACATTCAATCATCTGATCTGAGTGATAATCTTCCTTTATTTCCTTTTATTAAAAGTAAGATTTTTTCTAACATAATATATTCAAATTACAGTTCCCCCTCTCCTAATCACCGCTGTTCCCATCTGGATCCACTCCCTTTCAGTTTCTCAGAAAACAAAACAAAACAAAACAGGCTTCTTCACACTGTTCCCTGAGCCCTAGCTATGGGAGGCTTTTGTTGATGTACCTAGTGTGACCGGGCACTTTGTTTGGCTGTGAAACAGCATTCATAATACTTTACCAGGTCTCTAACATGATTGTTATATTTGTCGGTGGATACGTGAACACAACCAATTTTTAGAAAAAAAAATGAAAACTTAAAACGTCTCCATTTTACAGACGTTTACTTCAGTTTGTCTTTTCATAAAATTATGGCTAGGAAAAATCATCAATATCAAAAAAATGTACATATCAAGACATTTTCCACTATTCTAAAATATTCAGATTCCATCTTTAAGCAGCTTTTTAAAGACATGCTTTAATTTAGAGTGAGGTAGAAACCTTTCAAAATTCCCACACAAACCTGCACACACACCATACTGCAACTCCATGATTTTTTTTGTGCTTGTCAAGAATATCTATTAGCATCAGTGGTCCACCTGGTGCTCTAGTGACTCAGATACTGTAACTTATTCATCTTCTTACTCAGGATCTTTTGTTTATTTATTTGTTTGTTTCTTTATGCATTGTACATCCTGATTGCTGCTCCTCCTACCAGTCTCTTCCCAACACACTATCCCTCCTCCATTCTTCCCTCCCCTTCTCCTCTGAGAGTGTGTTGGCCACTGGGTATCCTGACACATTGTCTTCAGGGATAGGTACATCCTCTTCCCACTGAGGCCAAATAAGGTAGTCCAGTTAGGATAATTCCACAGACAGGCAACAGCTTCAGGGACAGCTCCTGCTCCTGTTGTTGGAGGATACATATGAAGCCTGAGTAGTACATCTGCCATATAAGTGCCCAGGGCCTCAGTCAAGCCCATGTATGCTCGTTGGTTGGTGGCTCAGCCTGTGAGAGCCCCCAAGGGTTCAAGTATATGACTAGCTGTGCTCCCCTGCTAGAAACTTTAAACAAGCTCTCAATGTCCTTTTTTTTTTTTCAATCACTATATTCTCACTCAGCTTCCCTCTGTATTTATTAGGTAAAAACAATGATGACAATACCTTGTTTATATAACTTAACCACATGTTTAACATTTATGTAGGCTAAAATATTCACATTGAAAATCAACAGTTGGCAGTTTATTTAAGTAATAAATGGATTAATATGGATTAGCAACTTAATATATTTTTATCACTTACTAGTTTAAAAATCATCAATTGAGCTAGGTATAGTGGCACACTGTTTTAATTCCAGCACTTGAGCAGAGGTAGGGGGCAGTTGTTGTGAGTTAAAGTCCAGCCTGATTTGCTTAGTGACTACTGCATTAGCCAGGACGAAGTGAAGATACTCTGTTTGCAGTTTACATAGCAAATGCTAGAATAGATAGTCAAGGCTAAGTGTAGAGAGGACATCTCCTGGTTCACATGATAAGCATCAGGATAGCCATCCAGGGCTAGATCGAGAGACCCTGTGAGCTGGATTCTATAGAAGGAACTAGAATAGATAGCTAAGGCTAAATAAAGAACCCCTGTTTACTAGTTTATATAGTAAGTACTAAGATAGATAGCCAAGACTAAATGCAAAGACCCCATCTGCTGGTTCACATAATAAGAATCAGGATAGCCAGGGCTAAGTAGAGAGATTCTATCTAAAAATGAAAATATTATTTGATTAAAATATTTCTTGTTCTCAGGGGTGGCCACAGTTCCTTTCATTTGCATGAATTTATTTCTAATTTGTGATTTTGTGTTTCTTTAGGATTTTGTGGATGCCTGTTTATTTCCCTTTCTTGTTTGTGCTTCATAGGTCCTGTTTCATTAATTTGATGACCCATATATTTAGATCTCTCTCTCTCTCTCTCTCTCTCTCTCTCTCTCTCTCTCTCTCTTTCTCTCTCTCTCTGTGTTTGTGTCTGTCTGTCTGTCTGTCTTTCTGCCTCTCTCTCTCTCTCTCTCTCTCTCTCTCTCTCTCTCTCTCTCTCTCTC